GAGATTGGCTCAGATATGACATGAAAGGAGCAGGTAGTCACGAAACTAGCTAGACAAAGACGAAGCTGATAAAAATCACTTAATGACAAGACGCGCGCCACACAATTAAGCCATTTAATTTAAACGAGATTAATCATAATTACCAAGCGCCAGGCAGCAAAGAAACAGTGAACAGTGTGTGGGTCCACTTCCCTTTTATGTCATGCATTTTTGTGACAGTTTAACTTAGGTTGAGGCTTGAGCTTTTCGGCGTAGGGGTTTTTCGTGGCCCTGATTGACACTTGGTTACACACACACATACACAGTTGAGTGTGTTTGCGGCTCTGACCTCAGTTTGACTGCAAGTGAGAGTTAATTTAAACGCAAGCCACAGCAAATTAAACTAATGTTTGTGCTGAGACCCAACAGCTGAATTAAAATGAGGCAAGCAAACACAGCGAGTGCCAGCACTCAACTTAACATGGCTTTATGTACCCTTCATCTGTGGAGCATACGTGCTTCAAGGGTGCCTTAAACATGATTCAGTTACAAATGTAGCTGAGGTACAGTGAAATGTGTTCAGTCAAAGACGGTTTAAGAAAAGTTTTTCAAATTATTATATAGACTTTAGGAATGAGGAGAGGTATAGAAAATGCGTACGATAAGTTTAATTGTATCTATGAGTTATAAATATGTATCAATAGTTAGTTTGCACAGAGTGGCCAAACACGAAACGCAATATACATATGTATCTAAGTAATGGAAGCTAATATAAAAAATTTAACGAATTGAACGAAACGTAGTGTGGAAATGAAATACATTGTGGAAGTAACACCCAAACGAGCTGAAGATAGAAATGTATCTATGGAAAGTATAAATAAATGAAATCATAAACCAAAAAATACTGTGAAGTCTTTTAATTAAAAAGTGGAAAAACATGTCTTTATAAAAAGCAAACGCTCAAACTGGCTTAAGATATAAAAGTATCTGTAGTATATAAAAATGTATCTTTATACACCAATTATCTCTACTTCCTGCTGCAACTAAACATAGCCATGAGACATTATTTGTAAAACAGAAAGCAATAAATAAAAAATAGAAAAATAAATTGAAGCTTTTCTTGAAAATTAATACTAAGATTATTTCTTATTCATGCAATTAGAATTAGCTCTCCGTTCAGTTAGTGTACATGACATTCGATCTAGCTTGAGTGCTTCCTGTTGCTTGCGCTGTCGCTGGCGCTTGTTGCTGTGTTGTTGCTTGTTGTCTTAGCTGTTGCAATGCAATTTATGAAAAATAATTTAAATATCAAAAGGCTTTCGTTTTAATTACGCGCAACACACACAAAAGCACAGCACCGAATGGAAAAGGCAACAGCAGAAGGCTGCGGCCACCAAGTCAGAGCCAAGAGCCGAAGTCAGAGCCAGAGTCAGAGACGGAGTCAGAGCCAAGAGCCAAGAGTTGGCCGTAGACACTACTTTAATGCCGCGGCAGCCATTCCATGCCCGCTGCGTTTAAATAATTAATTAAGATTGATGCAGACTCATTTGTCTTGCTGCGCCAAGGACGTGCGGGGGTGCGTTGCCAGCGAACAGGATGCCAGCAGAGGCGAGAGTCGCAGGGGCGTGGCAAGGCGTGGAGCGCGCACTTTGCATTTTGCTTTTCAATTTATTTTGTTGATGCCCCCTTGTCGGCCTGCCTGCCAGCCTGTTGTGTTGCTGCTGCTGCTGCTGATGCTGTTGCTTTTTGTGTTTTATATCGAAAGATTTTGCATTAGTTTGCATTAAAATTTCACTTTGTTGTTTGGGCCAACGCTTTAAAAATCAACGCTCCGCGCACATTTTCGCCTACGCAGCAGCTCCCTTTATGCCCGCTCGTTCTCGCTCTCTGTGCAACTTGGCGCATTTTTGGTTGCAATTTCCCATGCAGTGTGCCACGCAGACAAAGTTGCATTTACTGTAATTACATTGTAATGCTAGCAAGCAGGCGGTTAAGGGGCACGAGCTGTCGGGGCAAAGGGCCTTTTGCCAATTGGGCGGATTACAATGCGAAATGAGTTTATAAACAATGCCCAGGCTGACAACGCCAATTGGAAAAGAGATAAAAAATAATTGCAATTGACTGGGTACAGCACAAAAAAATTGGCATTTTTTGCATGACAGTTGCTCGAAGCCGAAGCAAATATACACTAAAAACTAGTATTGTACAGCTGCTCAGTGATATAAGAGCATGTAAATTGTGGGTAGAGAATATTTGGGAATAGCCTTGAAAAAGAATTAAATTTCTTGATAGAGATATTTAGCAATTCTGTTTAAATATATATATATTTAAATTAATTTTATTACTATTTTCGGTTTTTGTAAGAGATGCTTAAAAAAAGTGTAAAAATATATCATTATCAAAAATATCAATTAATTTCTTGAAATTAAATACATTTGTGAGCTAACTACCTGAAAATACATAAACCATATATATATTCGAGAACTTAAAATAAGAATCAATTTTGCAATAAGAGCAATTGAATATATATTTATAATATACCTATATAAGTGCATAGATACATATATATTCATATATATATTAATTTATCAATGAGCCGGTTGCAAGCTGCCTGCAATATGTTAGCGACACCGCTCGCTATATTGCATAAATATTGGGCGCCATTGTAAGCCGTTAATTGGGCGCAATGTTTTTTATGCGCGCATTGCTAACTTCTTGATTTTCCTGCATGCATTTATTTATTAAAATAATCCCATTTGTCGGTCCGTTGCATATCAAAAATTTAAATAATAATTAGCGGCGCGAAAATCGCTTTAAATGGAACAACGCCGCCAAATTGCCGAATGGCGTAAAAATAATGGCAAATGAAAATATAAAATTAAAAACAAAAGCTTTACTTTTATTATTATTTGCGCTGATGCTGTTGATGTTGTTTTGCTATTGTTGTTGTCTTTAGCTGTTGCTGCTAATGAAAACGAAATTAATTAATTTAAAACAACAATTGGCTGGCTTCGACTCCCTTCCGCCACTCACACGACGCGATGCGAACAGACAGTAAACGCTTTAGTGAGACAGGCTGGGCGTATACACAATATTCACTAGTGCTCCCGATATACATATATATATATATATAGGTATATATAGGTATATATATGTATATCGAGTTATTCACTGGATATTGGCAACGCCCACACTTTGGCTTTGACTGTCTGTCATGTCATGCATATGTAATTATTCCATGGCTAGCAAAGCGATTCGCTGAGCATATGTCGGCCAAAATGTTTGCGCCATGCAAACAAGCTTTGACTGCGATTCACCTGCTGCTGCTTGCCAAGGCACATATTAAAAACCCGTTTGCAAAGTTGGGCAAACACTCCGGTGCGAAGGCAAAAATTGTTGCATATTTTTTTGTTTTGGTTTTGGCTTTGGCTTCGGCTTGGGCTGCAAGGACGCAACTATAAAGCACTGCAGCGTGGCAGCCAAAAGGCCAAAAAGGCCACGTACTTAGCCTGATTTACACGTTGCCATAGAAAACCAACCAATGGGTGCCAGCCACACTCTCTCTCTCTCTCACCCCCTCTCTCTTCCTCTCTCAAACTGTTTCGAGCGTCTCTTACAAATTTGCATCACAAATGTGTCTTTTTCAGGTTGCTTGACTTTGCATAACCCCTTGCGTTGCATGCGTATCAGCTCTCAAAGTAAGTCTGAGTGGATGTTCGAGTCTCTTAGCCTAGGGATGACTTTATTTCATATTTTCTTTGGCCAACATTTGCGTACCATTTACATTACAAAGCAAAAGCAATCTGAAATTTGCCCTTCTTTTAGTTATTGGTATACAAAAATTAGTGCCACTCCCACACGAATATTGGACAGCTTGTAAGCTGGCTAATTAACAAAAAAAAAACAGATGACCAAGAATTGTGTTGAAAAGGCATTCATGATAAGCTACAAAATATCTGGTAAAGCCGTCAATTTGTATAAAGCTTTTTGGAGACGACTTGAATATAAGCGAAATTTGGAATTTCAATTAATTTAAATATGGGCTTTGTACACTTTGTACACATACAAACACATTTATATATCAAAAATATTTATTAAAAATCTTTTTGATGCCAGGCTTTTAATGGTAGACAGCAATTTTGTGCTCTATTTGCTTTGTTTAGCAAATGTATTTGCAATTTGTAAAATCAATTGCAACTGCAGGCGGCAAAAGGCAAACACAGCAGCAAGTAGCTTCGCATCTGGTGGGGCCTAGCAAACAGTTCACTAAGCAAATATGTAAAAACAAAAAGGCTTCATTTCGAGTGTGATTTATTGAACATGAAAAGCATATTTGAAAATATTCTTGTCAAATTGCAAACAGCAGGGGCTCTGCACACTGCGGGCTCTGCACTGCAGACGTTTTTCTCAAAGAACTGGACGCCACAAAATCAAAGAAATTCTTTTTATAAACAAAATAAATCGTGTGGCTAGTGCTCGCTCGACTACTGGATCGCCTGTCTATTAAAAAGAATTTATGAGCAACCAATAATATGAAGTTTTGGCTATGAATCTAGTGAAGAGTGTCTTAGTCGAAGTTTTAAATATAGATATAGATAGTACAATTGGGCCAATATAATAAGTTAAGTATTGTATAGAAGTTTATCTTATCTAAAATAATACAGGCTTATAAACAATAAGAAAAGACTTTAGTTTTTCGTAAAAATCGTTCAACGATTCTCTTCGTGAGACTCTTAAGGCAGTGCTGATCTTCATTATCCAGACTTCTCTATAATATTAATATATACGGCTGTGAATTCATATTGAATAAATTCTGATCAAATTTCTATCGCTTTTGGAAAATAGCTTTTTAATTATTTGGCTTAAAGTAAACAATTACTTATTCAATTATTTTATTATTTAATTTATTTGTGCACTAGTATCATATACCCTACTTCTTTAGCCTACTTTTTTGAGTATTAAATATATTTTCTTTCATATTTGATAAAATAAAAGATGACCCGAATTCAAAAATTATTTACCTGTTCTTTTATGAATATCTCACTCTTCCACTCTCGAGTGCAAACCTGCAAAAGAAATAAATTTTTATTGAAAATAAAATATTGCAGAATTCAAAGCTTTTAAAAGTCTAATAAATTACCTTAAATATTTTATATTTTCTTTTCGATTTTTAATTATTCAGCAACGCTTTAATGAGCTATCAAATTACCAAATGGAAAGTTTTAGTTTGCTTTGACTCTGGCGCTCGAAAGTGGGCAACAGAAATTAACAAAGTTGCAGAGCTTCATTAACTCGCAGCGCTTCGATTTGCATGTGCAAGTGTATGTGTGTGTGTGTGTGTGTGTTTGTAGTATATCTATATGCTTTGTACGTGCCAGTTCTCTGTGTGCACTTGAGCTTAATTGTTAGTCAAATTATGCAAAGTATTTCACATACAATTGTTGCCGTGTTTGCAGCTGTCAAGTAGCTCGTTTACCCCCGGCATACACCTGGCTTCTGTCCACATTATTGGCATTGAAGCGCATTTCTGTTTATACAATACAAACACACACACAGACCGAACTGTCGCTTCATTTGTTTAGACTCTGTCCAATGGTCTATGAAAATGTACCAAAATGGCGTCGCGCGACAAACTGAAAGTTTACCAAAATCTCTAGAGTGGGCGCTTAGGGCGGTGCAAACAGCATGTACTGCTACACCACCGCCACCGCCACCGCCACCGCCACAACCACTCAAGCGCCACCCAGTCCGAGTGGATCAATACATGAGCTTATCGTTGGCATTACACAAATACTTTTGCATATGTAAGTACATGGGATATTTACGGCATTTAACTGTCGTCTAGCGAATATACCATATACATACGTAGGGCCCCTCCCCACGCAGCCCTCTGCCAAATTTGTTTGTGTATCTGTATGACATTTAATTCCAATTGCCTTTACCTACAAATTGACATTTTGTGCTACACACAAAATGGCAGACAAAAGACATTCCACAAAGAATTTTCCGCACAATTTCGACTCAAAACTTTTTAGTTTTTATTCAACTTTGCCAGCGACTTGAAGTGAGAGTCGTTTTCGTGGGCGAATTCGATTTGTGGAACACATTGTGCTTTGGCATCATGTCATTTGCAATTTCAAAATAGTTTTTGTCTCTTTGTACAGAGATGCAAAAATAAAAATTTGAAAACATTATTTTTTTTCATTATTTTGAACTATTTTTGTATTCCTATTTGTGTCTCTTATTGTTTTCTGTGTGCCTGTGTTTGAGTGTGTTCATATGGTAGAGATTACAATTTATGTTTTGTCGTTTTTAATAGCTATAAAGCATTTTCATGTTGCTGAAAGCATGTCCACATTCGCACGCCGAACAACAACTACAACGACAACAAATACGATATGCTTGTTCACATATGTATATTTATGTTCCATAGACAATTTTATGCATTTTGAACATGCGAACTTATGAAGCAGGCCTCGATATAGTTGCCGAGTAATTAAATGTGCCTCTTGGGTGTCATTAGGCTACAGTTCAGCTCCCTCTCGCCCACGCGCTGTGCGCTGCTAATGTAATTAGCATAATTCAGGGTGCCATAAACACATGAATTAAGTAACGTATTGATTGACTATGGCGGCTATAACACAATTTGCCGGCTGACCAAAACTTAAACACGCGTTACAATTGCACAAGAGCATGTCATACGCTTTGTAGCTGTAGCTCTGTGTGTGCAAATGGATAACAATAGGTATAAATGTTTACAAGCAATAAAACTAGCAAAACAAACGACATACGCATACACTCACACACACTCACACTCACACTTAGAGTCATAATGATATATAGACCACAAATGCTGCACACATTTACAAGACACTACAACAGAAGCTTTAATTGTTATTTTAATGATAAAAATGGAGACAAATTACATTGAACCATAAAAACTAATAACAAACAATGGCAACAGTTCATTGCTATTGTCTGCCCCAGAATTAGGCCCAAATTGTGGATACTCCTACAAATCGACTCATTCGGTAGATTTATTGGCTTACATTAGCGCAGCGGAAATCAATAAAACGCTGTCAGTATGTGCGGATTAATGTGTGTATCTTAAAGATACAAATGTATCTGTAGTGTTAGTTGAACTTAAAGCATGTGTAGCATGGAGATAACATTCAGAATGTTGATCAGAATCAGCAGCAGCGTTGATTTAACTCTACGTTCTTTTGTGTGTTTATCTCCTCATATGAACTACAAAAGCTACAAACTTTACTTGAGCTGTTAAGCTGAACAAGATTATTGTTTACTGTCTTCCATAAAAATATATATTTAAAGTTCGATTTTAAAGCATAAATTCAAAATTATGAGACCTAAAGATACATAGATTATGTTTATTTCCCAATCCCTTTCAGGGTAACTCATAGCTGTGCACCCTAGCTGGTTTTATGCATCGTGTCTACGCAGCGTAAAACATGAAAAATGTTCACATAGCTGCTTGTTGCCGTTTCCGCTACCTGGCGCTAGGGGGCGCGCACATGTCGCATGTCAAGCAGCCATTTGACAAAATCAAAATACTTAAAATAATTTAACTTTTAATTGGCGTTGAGCTGCAAGTTGACGCTTTTGTTGCCAACATGGCAAAATGTTTTTGCAAAATAAATACCTCAGCCCCGCTCATTGGCCAAAATGTGTCAACAAACTGCAGTTAATAACAAATATTATAGTATAAAATTAATGCAAAAAAAAATTGTTAATTAAACTTGTTGCAGCTGCACACAAACTTTCAATTGAATATTTATGCTGCAAAATATCCAACCTGCTTACCGTTGGCTCCTCCATTTGCACCTGGTTCAATTTAGCTGAGCAGAAATATATCCATCCTTAGCCTATGATGGCCTTAGATAAATCCCTTTAAATATCGCTGACACTAAATTCGTTGAAGCAACTGGGCCACATTCCAAGTTTTCTGACACTTACGAATTCATTTCACTGCCATACTTTATCACCAGGGAATGGGCACTACGAACTCGGCTAGGAGACGGGGGAGTAGGGTAAAAATTGTAAAAAAAATGCACTCAGCGTGCAATGTGCTGGTCGCCATGTTGTGCTGCTAGCTACGTGTATTTCAAGTGCATATTTTGTTTGATAAATTGTTTGCCGCGCTCCAAGTCGAAGCCGGCTATAGAGCGGCATTAACTAAGAGATACCCTGCTATACTTAATTGAGGCTGCATTTCAGGCATATTCCAACTGCTATAGTCTGCAGTTTTTGTTATTGTTAAATCAATTATCGATTTCCAATTTGAACTCATCTTTATCCTATGTGATTGAGGCAATCTCTGAGCTTATATAGCTTAAGGAAACAAAGTTTCCTTCACTTCTCTATTGCTGCTCTTTGCATAGATTTGCTCAACCAGAATCTATCCCCTAGCTTACGATTTTACGATAGGTGCTTTCTATTTCTACTGCAGCTGGTTCCCTTAAATAGACTTAAAGATACCCTGTACTTTTCAATGGGCAGCCATTGGTTGAGTTCATATATTGTTATTTCTATGCCATGTTTGATGAAGCTTGATCTCCGATAAATTCGTATACTTAACACCAACTCTTTGTTACTGCTACAGGGTATATTTCTGTTGTAAGTGCTGTAACTACTTTGCCCATTCCCTATAGCAAAACCCTAACTGTACCGTTGTCATTCCCCAAAATGGCCGCCCGGGGAGTCACAAATATGGCAGCGGCTTTGCCAGACGGCGTCAGACAAAATTTATAAACGCGCGCAGCTAACTATATATATATATGTATGTATGTATAATATATATATATATATATATACATAGATATATATAAATGTATATATATTTATATATATATATATATATATATATATATATATATATATATATATATATATATGCACTGTTTAGGTAAAGTAAAGTTAAAGTCTACCCCAAGGCAGGAAACAAGCTGACGACGAAATATGAAAGTGTTAAATAGCCAAGGGAGTGGGCGCCACGCTGTGCCATGGCCATGTGCCATGCGGCATGCGGCATGTGGCAACATGTGAGTGGCCCTTGGCCCTGCCATCGAGTACCATGTTCTTTGGCCATGTTCTTTGCCTAGGCTTGCTAGCTATGATATTTGGCAGACAGATTTAGGTCAGCTGTATTGAACTACAAAAATGTCGATACTCGAATCTTTAACAATAGAATTCCTAAATATTAAATATACTATTCAGTCATATGCAATTCTTTGCTCAACCCAGTTGCGTTGTCCGCTTTGGGTCCAAATTAGTTGATAGCGCACGGCTGCCAATTATGTGGGCCAGCCAAATATTTGGAGTCTCGGACGCAGCTGTAAAAATATTGTGGCAAAAATGTTGTGCTGCCAATTTGTGTGTGTTTTTTGGTTTTGCTAGAGAGAGTGAGAGGGAGGCGGGAGACAGAGAGACATATATGTAGCAGTAACTGCATATCAAAATATTTGTGAGGCGTGTGACAGTCGCCCACTTGGAGATTGGGACAAATTGCGAGTGTTGATGATGTTTTTACCGCAGCCTGAATAACATGCGACAAACTTTTTTTTTGGTGCCGCAGCGAATTAGGTCAGAGTGTGGCATCGACAGTGGCACCAGCTGCACGGCTTTCCAGCTGTGATGGTATTTTTCCTTGCCTTTTTTTAATGAGGCGCATTTCATAATCAGCGCATGCATTGCCTGCTGCCATTGGAGACGTCGTTGGCAGGCGGCTCGCATATCCGTTTTTGCCATAAATTCAGACCTGAAGGCAACTGGAGCCAGGCATGACTCTAATCGGACAACGATTCCGTGCATACGTGTGGGCGTATAGAGAAAACCGATGCCAGAGTGGCTGAAGCTAAGCTTTATATTAATAATGCGGCAATGGGAGCTGCAAGTGGCAAAAGGCGATTACTTTGAGTAGCTCAACTTGGATACCCTATAAAGATATATAAAATGAGAGCCAGCTTAAAGCTGGCATAGAAAATAGTAATTAAGATAAAATTGGTTAGGTTGTAAGAAAATCTGGACTTATAAATTATAAAAGCATCTT